TTGATATCTTTTATGATTCAATGAATTTAAAAAATTTATTTGATTATATCGTTTGCTAATGATTATTAATTTTTTATTTTTTTAAGTTTATGGTATTGATGTGACGTCACCCTCACAAGGATCAGATATAGTGAATGTCATAGATGTGGCACGACTATAAAATTTTGGCTTTACCATTGGAGCAAAGGTGATGCAATTTTTTGTTTTGATAAATAATTTGGATGTGGGTCCTGATTTCGGAGTTGTTTAACAGATACGTATTTGAGGGTGAGGTGAATGGAGTTGGTAAGGTGTGTTTTTGATGGGATGAATTTAATAAATATTGTGGCGTGCATTACAACGGTTGTTGTGGATGTCGTGAAGGGAGAATAGGAGGAAGCTCTAAGGGTTTTCTGAGAGATGGCCCAGCGACAAATAAGATCACTTTGACTAGGGTCCTCCTGGCCACTAAATTTCTCGCGAGCTATCATGTTACCATCATAGTAGGGTTAAATGGTGAGAATTTTCTGAACGATGCTTTAATTGATATGTACTCAAAATAAGCAATTACTTTTTATATTGCAACAATATTATCAGCAATGTCAAGATTCAGTAAAAACTGTGATTCTCCCACAAGATATTGTGCTGCTTCCACTTTTAGGACCAAATCTTGATGGTTTTGAACAATGCCATATCTTACCTGTAATCTACAATTGGAAGGATACTTGGATAAGTTACTATAATGTCACATCACACATGTATGTCTTGTGGTCATTATGTAATGTTTTGTTAGTTGTGAGAGGATTTGTAACTGATTTATGACATCATTTTGAATTTGTCTGTTGTTTAACTAACATTAAGTTTATGCTAACTTCTCGAGAAGGCTCTTTAGCTACCTGCCAAAAGGCACCTCTTTAGCTACCTGCCAAAAGGAAGAGTGCATTTGGAAATACTCGATAATACCCTGAACATTTGTTCTATCGGGCTTCAAGTCAACCAACCTGTAGACCAGGAATGTTAGTGACAAAGGCTTAACCACAATCTGCATGTATTCCCATGCATTGGTTTTTTTGTTTGTGTCTTTAGAGGAAAGTTGTGGAATCTCCCTGTTGCTTGGCCGTCTATCAATGCTTAGTTTAAGTGGTCGGCAGATAAACTCAGTTCTACGTTTATGTGCTAACTGTTTATATTTTGAACCATCAAAGATATTATTCACTACTGTTGATTCTTTTTAGGAAGTCAAAAATTGAGGAGAGCGTCCTCACCGCTTAGCTCCGTCGATAGGGACACATACTCTCCTCATCAAATGCAATTATGTGCAGAATAACAAGATTGATGTGGAGTGGGTGTCTGAATAAACAATAAAATGTCGATATTATAAGTTTTGACACTGGTGAGTCATAAGGTTTCACGGATTTTTTAGCAGAATGCATGAATAATTCTATCCTGGCAGCACATCTTTATCACTGGTGATCATGCTAAAGGAGAATTCGATGACTCTTTAGTGTCAATATCTCACTCACTCACTTGCTCGGAGAAGAAGGTATGTGCTTGCTGACACTTGCATCTAAGTGAATTCATTTTAAAGAAGGGACACTTTGTAGACGATAAACATTTGTAGGTGCAGTTCATTGTTAAACGCAGGTGATAATAGAACAAGAAAAACATTGAGAAAAGCTGGATCTTGCTTTCTCTAAAGAGACCCGCAATGACAATGAAGAAAACCTGCTGCTGCTAGCTAAATATACTGTGAGCCATTTCCAGCAATCAAAACTCATGAATGCTCTCAGGGAATGTGCATTTAATTTGCAATCTGAATATGCTACGTATTTAATGGATTGGTGACAAGCAGCTACTAACTCAGTTGGAGTTTGTGCTTAAATGCTGATGAAGAGGGGTATCACATGGTTGTCGCCATGGGGAATAACATCGTTCAAGCAAAGTTATCACTTATTATGGGACCAGTATATTGGTTTATCAGGAGCGTTTGATGGACCACCTTTCAATTCTTCTCAACCTTGATGGTAGGTAGCCTCAGAGCTGGTGTCACGGGCAGGACTACTCGCGGTGCACCACAAATAAGGGATGATTGGTCCACCAATTCAATGTGGCAGTGGATAGGTGTGGTCTGCGGGCTGCCCATTGGCAGTTGATCTCCACCTCAGCCATGTCTTTGAAGAAGAATGATCAGTCACATGACTTGTCTGCCATTTGGCAATGGGACCCTTTTATTGCTTTTGAGAGAAGAAGCTCTTGATGGAGTCCGCAATCTCTCTCTCATCCCATCAGGAGCGGGTCCTTGTGGTCCCTTTCATCCTTCTAAGGTAGTAAAGAAATAAAAGCTGACACTAGAAGTCAGCTACATTTGTGTGTTTTTTTTCTTTGGGGAACTGTATCTACTTCGACTCATGCAGAATCCGACTACCCAGAATGTTAAAGCTCTGAAGTTTGACCACCTCCATCTTTGTAAGTGCCTAGTCATACAATTTTTCTAATTGGGTTATTTTGATTCTACTTTCAGTGTACATTTATTTATTGTCAACAAAGACCTTGTCACCATTTGAGTTTTTTCTATCAACTCTTATCATTAGAAGCAAGGTTCACAATTTCATTTATTGTATTGCTCAAGACTCGTATTGGCCTATCGAGTATCAATACAGTACTTACCAAATTTAAAAAAATAAAAAAAAGATGAAAAAGAAAAATGTATAATGCATGATGTTTACCACCCTATACCAGATGGTACGGGCCTTGTACCAAGTGGTTTATCCTAGTCGACGGTTATCGGACCGGTAAATACTATTCGTAATGGATCATATTACATCGGATGATATTGTAAACATTGATTACAATTCTTTAAAGACAACTCCAAGTGCGAGTTTTAAATTCGGCAACAACTAACATAATACTTCGGCTGCGGAAATCTCGTGAATATTGAGATTTTCCGATAAGCTGCGTGAAACTATGAAAGGCTGATGACTAGGTTGATTTTGTAGACACAATTCTTTAGGAAAATTTGAAAGAAACTGCTTTTGCATAAATAAGTAGTTAACGTTGCTTCCACTTCTATATTCAAAGTTAGAGATGCATTCACAAACCATGTTTTCTTTTACTTTCACAGCCAAAATCACCTGTAGCCATGGCATCTAAAGTAGAAGTCTCGTTGACATTTTATTATTCTCTGTGAATGCAATGATGTGAAAGTATCCTGCATGCTGACACTGATTTCTAATGCTACTGACTATATGATCTTTTAGTTAATGAGAATCAAAGCTTTGACTTTTAATGCGAGAATGACCACTTGTCAAATTAAAAGAACATTTCAGAACTAAATAGTTAATTCACTTTTAAGAGTTGAAAAAAAAAATTACTTTAAGCAGATTTTCTTGTAGTTGACAATATGAACTCCATAAGAAAATATGTATCCTGCAAGTTGAAATATATTTTTAAATTTCAGAGACCTTTGAAGTATCTCTGATAATTGAAAACACTAATCTTAGAGTTCACAGGTTCTCGATCTAATAAGAAACTCCAGAAACACATTTTGTGGGGGTTCCAACTTCAAATAAGTTTATCCTAAGCTGCAACATGATAATTAATCCTCATTAGAGAAGAACAAAAGAGAGGAAGGAGAAAACCTCCTCCATATTTGAGCATTGTTTGGTATTCTGCTTCAAGAACAGGTTTTTTGAATCAGCTCTGGAGTAGATTTCTCAATACTCAAAAGAAACAACCATATGAAGAAAAAGGAAGACAAGACTAATATTGAAATGGAGATATCTAAATTGCTCTAACTATGACAAATAATTAGATAAGTAATAGATATGGATCTCTTTGAGGAGCAATATGCATAATTTTTTGACAGAGGAAAGTCCATAAAGAATGTGATAGGTATTGATAATGACACTATGATGTTTGAGAGCCTAAATAATTCATGTGCTTGTGATGAAAAATGTCCCAACAAGGCTTATTATTCATGCAGTTTCTTGCTAAATAAAAAACTCATTTTACAGATTACTAATCGAAAATAAGAAGAGAGGTAGAGAAGATCAGTAAGAGGCTCTCAGGAGGATTTGGTTCTTTACAAATAGAAGATGACCTCCACTAGGATCACCATGAAGTTTTCCATCCTACTGCCAAGCTCCACCAATGGGGCCACCTTGATCACAACTTGATGCTGGTGGCGCTGAGCTTTCTCTTTCAGCTCCTAAATCATGTCATCAGCCTTCAAACCAAACATCTGCAAATTGGTGACGATGGTACAGATGCATATATGTTTGCTTGTACGAGCACAAGCATACAGCCATCTGGTCTGAGACTGCATCAGAGCAAGCTGTAAGCTGTACTCCATGGACCAGGGCAAAGGTCACCTGAGGTCAGTGAGGCAGAACATGTGTGGTAGCATCTGAAATGAACATTGACAGTGCATTTTTGGATTGTTATGCAGAACTCATCAGAGGGATCTCAGAATCCATGAACTCCCCATCAGTGAAATGCTACATTCTTCTAATGATCAGAAGTGGAACAAATGGTCCGGTAAGATTTCATGATGCCTCAGGATGGAAGTAGAGCTAAGTTCAGAGTCTGACCAGGGGTACGATGCTTTTGATCCCCACTTTTGAACTGAGATAGAGAACCGAGATGGCACAGCACTTTAAGATTCTCTTTTACATACATTGTACCCTGTTACAGAGTAGAATGTGAGTTGATAGTGCTGGAGAATATAGGAGGGCCATCTCCAGTGAAAAGGCCCTATCATTGCCTGCAACTGTTAGGAACTTTTTGAATTTTTCCAGCGGACGGGAATGCTTGTCTTTTGAAAGCAAGATTGAGCCATGCAGAATGAATCTGAGCTCCATGGCTTCCCAGAAAAAATTCATGAAGGTTACAGTATCTGCAGTGCATTGCTCTGAGATGGCAGTCTTGTTTGTCAGCAACCACATGGAGATGAAACATGATCAGCTTTGTTCACCTTGCAGTTTGGACAGTGAGAGAGAGAATTAAGAGAGCAAGATATCAGAGTAGTAGTGTTTCCATTGATGTAATGCTGTGAAAGGGTGTACAAAGTTCACAAAAGTGAGAAAAGCCTCATCATCATCAACTGTTCTCTGTACAGTAGGCCCATTTGTTGTTCCAAAACTTGGGCACCATTGAGAGAGGGCTCCATGCACTTCTGCTGCTCTATGTTACACTAGTCTACAGTCCATCTCAGCCACACGAAAAAGGAAAACAAAGAAGTAGAGAAGAATTTGCAGGAGATGATGAGCCATGCCCTCAGATCTGCGAGATGCATCTCCGGTGGCAGGCGACAGGCCGCTTTGCGGGCTTCGTCTCCTCCCTCCACATCCGACCGATGTCCTTGGCCGCCTTCACTGCATCTGAGGAAGCACCAGAGAGGCCTCTCTTCGTGAAGCCCACTGCGTAGAGGCCAGACTGCCCCTTCCACCCGTTGGGGAATGGAGTCTTTGGAAACCCATCCTTGGAGAAGAAATCACATCCCTGGAGATTCAAACAAAGATGGATCAATCTCTCATTTAACACCAGAATTAATGTCGGAGGAAGAAGAAGAAGAAGAAGAAGAAGTAGTAGTAGTAGTAGTAGTCATGGCCTTCGAGTGGTTCTTGGACAGTAAAACTGTCTCATCAAATGCAATATCACCAAACTACTTTAACTGTCGAGCTGGAACAGTAGAGAATCTTGGTTAGTACCTGAAACCACTGAGGGACATTGCTGCGGTATCCGGTGGCCAAGACGACGGAATCGATGTCGAGGACCTGGCCGTCGGCGAGCTCAACTCTTCCCGGTGAGAACCTCTTGATTCCAGGGACCACCTTGATGTCGCCGGATCTGATCTTGCCGAGAGCCCCGATGTCGAGGACAGGGGTCCTCCCCTGCGTGTTCTTGAGCTCCAGGGGACCTGTGGACGGCCTCCTCAACCCATACTTGGAGATGCTTCCCAACACCAGCCATGCCAATACCAGCAGGATCTTGTCCACCAGCCACAGCGGCAGCCACTTCATCAGCATAACAGCCAGCTCGAACGTGGATTTCCCGAGAACCTCCCTCGGCAGTACATGAACCTGCGATCAAGCGGCGTTTATCAGGAAAGATGCCGATGCGGGAAGCATATTAAAAGTGGGATTCATTCAGCAAGGATTGCTCACCGACTCGCGGACCACCATGGCAGGGAAGGCGTCGTGGTCGCAGAGGTCGAGGCAGAGCTCCATGCCGGAGTTTCCGCAGCCGACCACCAGCACGCGCTTGCCGCGGTAGGCCTCGCCGGACTTGTAGTCGCAAGCGTGGGTCACGTCGCCGCCGAACTCCCCCAGTCCCTCCAGCTCGGGGACGACCTTCTCCGCGTTCTCACCGGTGGCGACCACCAGCCACCTGCCAATGTACTCCATCTCGTGGCTCCTGTTGCCCGCTTCGGCGCCGGTTCCGACTGTCCTCACGCGCCACAGCCCGCTCGTCTCGTCGTACCTCGCCGACTGCACGGACTGGTTGAACCGGGGGCTGATCTCGAAGTGCTTGGCGTACGACTCCAGGTAGTCGACGAACTGCTTCTTGGTGGGGTACTCGGGGTAGTCCTCCGGGAAGGGGAAGTTGGGCAGCTGGCAGAATTGCTTGGGGAGGTGAAGCTTCAGGCGGTCGTAGGTGCGCTTCTGCCAGAGGGAGGCAATGCAGTCGGATCGCTCGAGGATGACGAAGGGCACGCCGTGCTCCTTCAGGGATGCTGCGACGGCCAGGCCGGAGGGGCCGGACCCGACGATGATCGGACCGTTCACCCACGCGCACCTCCGCGAGAAGAAGTCGAATTGATCAGCCATGAAGACCATTCTTGGTTGTGTAAGTGGGGATTGGATGCAACGGCAGGTGGGAACAGAGCAGAGCTAAAGAAGTGATGAGAGCAGTTGGAAGCTGGACTTGGAGATAGCAAGGAAGAAAGCAATGGAGGATTTGATGAAGTGGTGAAGGGTGAGAGGTAGGGGAGGTGTTTAAATAGGGGGGGAGCTGCCTGCCCATGGCTAATGAGAGCTGTGCATATGACTCGGAGGTCCCTATCAATATAATAAGCCTGCCGCCTCTCTTTGTACAAAGTTCATGATGGCAGGTCACTCTCTAAAAATACAAACATACCAAGTTTTCCATGAATATTCTATGGGCGAAGAAGACATTAAGATCACAAGATCTTAGTGTTCATTTTCTAAACGCAAAATTTTATCTATACATATATATCTCACAAAGTCGGTAACTCTATTGATTTCTCCAATTATAAGTTTAGCATATATGTTCAATTGATTCCCTCCATCCCGTGTTTCCTTTCATCAAACGTTGCTTGCTGGCTTCTTGATGTCTTCATGTGAAGTACTTGTTGAGATCGTTATTGTCACATTGTGATAACACACTAGCTATGGAAGCACTACTAGTTTAGATGATGAAACTACATAATGAGTGAAAGGTTGGGAGATGGAATTTGTTTTCTTTTAGTCCAAGCTTTATGTCAAGCTGTTCTCTGAAGGAAAATTAGATTATGTTTCATTAGCCACACGTTGTTCCATTAGGAATTAAAGCTCAAGTAGCAAGTTCCTCCCAAGTTGAATTTGCTGAGCCAAAATGGAGCTGTAGCAATCAGACTCATCAAAATTGACTTTGGATCCATTCATGGCTACGAAACCATCAAGACATGCTTTGAAGTGTTGCTGTCTACCTCAAACAGTATCTGATCCTGGTATAGATCATTCTATAGAGCTTTGCTCGAGTATGTTGTTAAGCTGTCCTCCATTTCCATGCAAAGAAGAAAAAATGAATTACTTAACAAAAAGCCATGTCGTGATGAAAGTTGCCAAATGTTCTGATACCATCTAAGCATCACATGAAACATAAGCCATGACATATCCATCTAGTTCTTTTCACTTGTAAGGTCACTTGACCTCTTAGCCTCAGCCATGGCAGATGATGAAACAGGCCCCAATCCCACCATACACACACTGCATGAATAATGCTTCTGCTTCTCCTGCACTCAGGCAACCACATGTACTGGTCAAATGGGTTGCATTATTTAGTCCTACTTGCATCCCAAACCCCTCTTAAATATCCACATGTACTATTAGAGAATCCAACACAACCACCACCCCAACTTGATGAAGTATTTTTGACACCACTGCTACCAGTTCTTATAGTCTTTCTGCTTCATCATCTCCATATGAACTGCTTTGATGCAGTGATCTGGCAATGGTTATGATATAGCTAGCAAAACCTCGAAGTTGGAAATGGATGAGCCGAAAGCTACCATGCTGTCCACCTGGAACGATCTCAAGGCGCCGGCCAATCAGATCGACTGCTGCTGCGCGGGTCCCAATGAATGGTGACCAATAAGAAATGAGAAGGGAAATAATATCTATATCTGACGGCTGGAGGATCTACCACCCTGGATTTAGTCGGCGATTCCCCACCCCACCACCATAATAACCCTCGTTGGCCTCCATCCATTGAACTGTGTGTGTGCGGATTCTGATGCTGAAACTTTCTCTGTCTTTGCATCCTCATGATCCTTGCTTCCCAGTTTCTTCAAAGAATAAAAGATCTTTGCGAAGTATGCAGCATATTCTATGTGCATTGAGCAGCATGAAATCACTTCAAGCATGTTCTGACCTTGTGCATTTTCCTTTTTCGAACGCTTTAAATCCGCATGAGATTCCTTCTGTTGGTTCTGTAGATTGGGTCAAGCGATCTACATTGTGAGAAAATGGAGGTTCATGAATTTGTTTCGGCAGACACTATAAATCATATGAAATCAGGCCTGTTTATTTAATCTGCACATGGGACTCAAAATGCTACGCCAAAAGATTTAGTGGTGAAACTGGTTCTCATCCTCTTGCTCGAGGGGGAGAGAGCTTGGTGGCGAGGCATGTGCTATAAGACCTCGGTTTCCCAAGTGACTCTACTTTTCATGCCTAGATAGGAGGTAGAATGTGCAGTGGTGCTTCCTCATTGGGCTCTCATTCCATAAGCGTTGCAATGAGTAGAACCACATGTACATTGGTTGCAACAATTCATGCATGATTAGTTAGGGATATGTGCATGAAGGTAGGTTAACTCTGCACTGGACAAATGGAGGAAGAGCGCCATGTCCATGTATCCTAATCCCCTTTTGTTTAAACGTTAGATCTTTGTGGTCGGCGATCATAGACTTTAATTACCCCACAAAGCAATCTCGATGGGAAGATTTCTTACTAGCTAAAAGGAGTGAGTGGCATGCTCATGCGTGAAAAGTTCACGAAGATTAGAAACCATGGTGTTAGGATCGATACCAACTAGTTAAAAAGGAACTTCTTTGTGGGTTCCTAGGTGTTGTGGTGGACTCTTGGAGTGTGCCTAACCTATGTGATGTGTGCTTTTAGGAAGGACAGTTCAAAAGGGGGGAAGGAGGGAATGTTATTTCTTTACATTTTTAGTGAGGGACGGTCCAGTCTCAAAAGAATGCTTGCATACCTCTCAAATCTTTGTGAGCTTTATAACTTCCTTGAATAGGATTTCTTCTTCTTTATCAAAGCCTAGTACCACAAAGAACGAGGGTTGTGGATTCTAATAATGTTCATAAACCACCATGGGCCCTTTTTTATTCTAGTTGATCATTAAAGGGTCACAAGAAATTATTTCTATGAGGGAAGGTCATGCTTAACTAATTGAGTTCGATCTATACTTTTCCATTTATATGTACTGCTTTGCAGCTTCCACATGAATTCTGGTGGCTCCTTGTGAGCACAAATAATTAAGAGCAACTGATGATTGATTCAACATTAGAAAGCCACTAATCATGCTTGCTTACTTTCTGCAAGAATGCAGTCCAGAAGCCTAATCACAAATCCATGTCTGTCATATGTTAATGAAGGTATCAAGCAGGTATGATTTGTTTCGATGCCATCGAGCTACCAAATCCTAATCATAAGGAGAAAGGAGAAAGGAGAAAGGGAAACTTGAACAAATTATAAGAATTGGGCCAAGCTGAAACTTAAATCCATCATCAACTAGCTTATCTATTTATATTCTTTGGCAATCATGGCAACTAAATGATGCATTGCATATGCATGTTCTAGCTTATTCTTTGTTATTGCGATTTGTCCAGGAATTCTCATTCTTGACGGTTTCTTGTGATCATGCATATCAAACCCAATTAGGACCTAATATATTCTATTATTCATTAACAAGAATACAATCTATATTTTCTATTCACTTGAAGATCACTGAGATTTTCCAAACAAATGTAGCTTTGGATTAGACACAACTTTTTTACTTTAATGGTTTTAGATACATACACATGTGATATGTCAATGAGTGGTCATCTCAAAATCGCTAGCCTCACCTCTCTTTTTGTTTTTTGGCTTGATAGAAGGTCATCTCTATTATGTTGGAGATGAAGGAGCAAGGAAAAAAAATAAAATACTATTATAATATTAAAAACAGGAGGATTGACAAGAATACTTACAAGATATTCTCTATATATCTTGCTTCATGAATTATGATCCTTTTTATAGGAGCTAGTGGTAACTATCCTATAACTACAAGATCATGATTGAGGTAGTTATTAAAACCACCATATAACTACTAGATCATGATTGAGGTAGTTATTGAAATCACCCTGTAACTAGAGCATGAAAATAGATCTAGTTGGCTTTGTCCAACGTCATGTGGATGGATAGTCTATATTTGACGAGTTGAGTCTAGAATTGCCACCCTCGGCAAATGCTAACACAAGTAGTGTTTTACATAAAACATATCAAAATGATCAAATTGCAACAGTAGATAGATCGTTTAATCAAATCAAATGGCAATGATCAAATTGCTATGTGCATCTTTGATCAAATTGCTACAATGCACATAGGCAAATTGCAACAGCAGAAACATAGCAAAATGATCTGCTTATGTTGATTGGTCATGGCTTTGTCGTCATACCAAACTGAAAAAAATCTCAAGCTTTATAGCTATGTCGGTAGGTTGAGCGTATTCTGTAACTTCTTATTCCTATTTTTTCTGCTATGAAAGAAAGGACTGATACTGTTAAGTGTTGATTGCATTGTGCAGGAACTCCCATATTATATATAACTGTTCAATGTTAATGGTATATGGACAGGAAAAAATAAATATATCACAGATCATAATGCACGGTGTGATATTAAATAGTTTACAAAATGGCACCAGTTGTTGAAGTTAACAAATACATGGATAAGAGACTATATAATTAGTAACCACATTAGATTAGCATTTACTAGGCTTTTGGAAGGTTGGTGTTGAGGAGAATGTGAAGGTTCATGCATACTTAACCAAGTGGGTAAGTAGATGCCATCATCTCATTACCTTGTGATGATCTACCTTCATGCTCTTTCAATCAAACAACTAAAAGATTCCAATGGCATATTAAATCCTTCCTCGAATCGAACCACATTATCTGCTTACAATAAGAACAACACAAAGTTGACATTCCTTGGCCTCTAACTCAGATAACCTAATAACACAAACATTTATTTGCATGCATTACTAGTTAACATGCATCATGATCAAAAAAATTCTTAAAAGATATTAGTTCATGGAAAAAAGAATGGCATCTCGTTCACTTAATCCGATGCTCATGCATGTGTATTAATCGGGTTCGTTAGTCCTGAAACTATAATTAATTAAGAGGTGGTTAGACATATGGCTGAGTCAAATTAGAATCGAATTGGTGGTCACATGGCATCAGGCCAGAGGAGAATCAAATCATCTGGTGGCACATTGCCTCATCACATAGACAAAACAGATTCATCCGCTCGTCTTCCTCAGTCAACAGTGACTAACATAAATGATCTGACCACTTCCCAACGGTCAGGTTCTCCTTATGTGGTCGGTAGCTAACCGTTTAACTACCATGTGGAACTATAATTATTTGATTGTTTAGTGTTTTCAAAGCATTACCATCT